TTTTTGATAAACTTATGCATTCAGCACAACTTGCATTTAGAAATGTAACATCAGATTAGTAGTTCTATTAAAACAAAGAGCAATGGCATAGGTTTGATAGATAAACAAAAGGGGGGAAAAGAAGCATGAACTATAGCCAAACTCTATTCATTACCACTCGGGAACTACTCCCATCACTGTATTTAAAAACCTCATTAAAAACACGCCCACAAACGTGTTGGACTGACTTATTTTTGCTGTGTGTCATTTCAAACAAACTGATGGAGAGCATGTTTTGTATGCTTTCACACATCTTAGCCTGCCAACATCATCAGCATAAGACAATTAAGCCCTGCCAATGAGAGAAAAAAATCTCAGTAAATATTTACAGTGCAAATCTTTTCCATTCATTCACCAGGCGCTAACAAAACCTTACTGTACTCTCCCTCTCTCACAATCCCCCCCCCCCCCATCCTCTCTCTTTCTCTACATCTGCGATTCATTGACTTTACAATTTACCACATGTCGAGATGGGAGAGGTCGAGACTCCATCTGAATCACGGCACAAATATGCGAGTGATTTATTGTTTTAAAAACCGTGGGTCGATTTTGTGCAACTCCACTTTTCCTGAGCATTACTCCTATTGGCAAACCATGAACAATTACAGTTTGGACTAATTAAGCTGAGAGAATGTGCTGTGCGCCACTAATGTCTAGCAGGCCCCAATTTTTGTTTAACGGTGCCAAACTTTGCTCCCCAACTTAACTCCCTCAAATCCAAAACAGATTGCACTTTTTATGTGTGTTTATCAAGCTCAAGAAAAATAAGGACATTTTATTTTCCTTGCATGGTATAAGAGGAACAGAGAGAGGGGGGGGGGGGGGGTTGGAAGAGATGAGGAAAGATAGAGAGAAAAAGAGAGAGAGGGGGGAGAGAGAGCGGGTCCTGCTTCCGCTATACTTTGTAAACAAAAGTGATTTGCAGGACAAAAGGAGCACAAACTTAATAAATTCGGAGCGCGTTTTGCGAGGTGAAACACAAAATGTGGACACATAGTGCCATGAACCCCCTGTGGATAGCAATTAGGTCCTATTAACATGTAAAGCCCATTTGATAAGGTGTGGGTCTATCCCCTGAATCCACATTAAGCTATCTCTCCTCACCTCGCAGGGACAAGCCATTCAGAGCTGTACCAGAACACACATAATCCACATGATATACCATTGTTATGCATATGCTGCTAACATGTTTAAAAAGATACTGTCTGTGTCAATTCTAAAATATAGGACATACCATTACATCTACATGAACACAAAAGGATTACGCTAGGTGTTATTTTCGGGCTGATGTACAATTATAACTGCTAAATCGGATGTTAATTTCAATAATCTTGCCACAAATCCACCATTCCCTCCAAAACATGTAAAAATGGTATAACTCATTAATTGTGAAGGAAAGTATTATTATTTTTTTAATAGGTGGGTCTACCACAATAGGAGAGATACTGGTGCAACAATAGAAGTGAAACAAAGAAAAGAGAGAAAAAAGCTATTGTTATAGCTAACCACACAACACCTCTCGCCAAGCTTGCTGTGGAATCGCCACAGGTTTCGGGTGCGTATTTTTTCACTCTAAATAGACCAGTGGAAGCTGGGTGTTGTGTTCTCTCTCTCTCCCTCTCTCTTTTTTTGTTCCTTTTTAAAACGACTCGTAATTATACAACGAAACCCAAAACCCCAGCCAAAAGTCTGCATGCCCCTGGAATTATGGGGCCAGGGGTGGCGTCAAATATCTTAACATTCATAAGTCAGAGAAGCAGTAAATAAACCCAGCAGATTTATGGCCCTGCAGCCCTAGCCAGAGTTCTTGCAGCCCCGCTCTCTCTCCTCTCTGCAGACCTGTTGAGGTGTGATGTTAGCCCGTAGCACTGGAGTTAACCCATCGCCTTTTCAGAAAGCCCCATGTTAGCATTAGCATCTGCACAATCGCAGAGAGAGAGAGAGCGAGAGAGAGAGAGAGATGTGCAAGAAACAGTATGGCACCAGGGGTTAGCTGGCCAGGCCACTTCACCAATTCATCCTGCTCCCACTGAACCAGCAGGCCTTTGTGTGAGGTTGAAAAAGGAGGTAGGGGAAGGAAGGGAGGAGAAGAGGGCAGGAGGCCTAACACCCTGGGCACAACGTCATGTCAAATTGCTAAATGATCCCAAATTGTACAGCTTTTAGACTTAGGTGGTTGGAAAAACAAACTCTCGCTCATTATAGCTCTCTGAGGTCAGACAAAGTATAGTAACCTCCACACATTCAAACACACACACACACACACAAGCACACACTCACACTTAAAAAATGACATGCAGTGACGGAATCACAGGAAGCATAGAAAGGCATGCCCAAAATGTCAAGATCACGGCCAGCTGACAAAAAGGAGAAATCAAGTGGTAAGACCGTGGTAGCATCACTAACATCCCAATCATATCACATTGGGACAATATATGTCTAAAGGTATGGAAACAAAAACCAAAAATTGCACACACATGCCAAAACATGAATTACAGAAATCATAGTATTGCACCGTCTGCACCAATAAGACCGGAAATCGATTAAATTAGAAAATCGGACTGAGGAGAAAAAGCAACCGACGACGCCTGCTATATCAAAGAACCGTAACATAACAATGGACTGAGCTAGCCATTTCTAATCACAGACACAGTACCAATCATATTCTGCAGCCGTCATTACTAGTTAGGGAGGAAGACAGGTAATCAATGCCCAGGTGAATTATTGATGCTATACATTTATGAATATAACGGACACAAAACTTCAAAGCTCTAATGGCTGGACACACACGGTGCAAAAAGGAGGGCTGGGTGAGTGCAGTAAGTAAACCATCATCAGCCTAAAAAGGTATGACGTGATCTCAGGGTATGAAGAATAAAGCTGTCCTGAACATTTATAGTGCAGTTCTATTTGTGCAATAAATGATATCACGTTTGCAATGTCTCCTTGCTTTGTAAACCAATTACAAAACAAACACTGTTCACTAGGCATTTCTAAAATGTTATTTTTGCAGATGATCTTATCTTACCTACAGGGAGGTGGTGGGGAATGACAGTGATCAAAAAGGCTAATATGAAAACCTTCCTGATTTTGAATTACCTCTAAACTAATGGGCAAAAGGAGACTGAGATCAGACCTGAGATCAGATTGAGACATATACTGCAGCATCTTCTTACAGTGCCAGGGCATTCCATTAATTTATTCTTATCAGTTTGGTACATATGCACATTGTAATGTGGAAGTTATGTGTGCTTGTGCTGGACCTTGGTTTATAGTGAACAAAAAGAAACTAACCCTTGCCCGTTGAAACAAGAAGCCATCTTAAAGTGTGTGTGTGCGTGTGTGATAAAGGTAAAGAATTGCAATTGGTCTCCAATATGCACGAGACACATATTTAATAAAACACCAAATCATAAAATATACAAATAGCAAGATAATTCAATAAGATGAAATGTTTTTAATATCTGTGCAATTATTTTGTAGACATGTTATAAGACATGCTTAAAATGTGTCAGACACAAAAGGATGCATTTCATTGCCTATCAAGTGTGTTTATTTTCAAGGTGTGCCTGATTCACTAAATTGAGGAAACAAATATCAATTTCATTACCGAGAGGCGTATATGGGGGTAAGTTCATATTTCATAATGCCTGGTTTTTGCCTTAACCTTGTAAAATGTCCTAAAGCGATGACTTGTAATTGCAACCATATAAAAAAAAATACGAATAGTTTAGAAAATTATCCCGCTTAAGCATTGCTATTGCCCAGTGGGACTAGGAGGTGGCGAGTAAATGAGTAAGTATGCATAATTATAGCAAAGCTGATTGCCTCTAATAAATAAGATCAATTTATTCATAAATAACATTTTACATGGCACATGCGTTTAAGAGCGATGGTTTACCCCTTACAAGCTAGAGCGGTATCATGCAGTACATAGGCTATAACACTGCATCATGTAAAATTCAAACATTATTTCCAGCCTATACATAAATAATTTTAGAATTATTTAAATGTTTGAGGGAAAAATATAAATGTCTGCATATTCAAAGTAACTGTCAATGACAGGCCTCTTTCAGCTAATGTCAATGCAGTTTGACAGATGCAAATTAAATAAACTAATCAACACATTGGTTTTGTTTTTATAAGGTCCTTTCTCAATGCTTTTCTGAGTTTCCTTTATGTTGATATATTTATCTAAACTTACTTGTGTTAGGCGTTATTATACAGTACTAAGAAGGTTTAAATAGGTGTGAGTTTTAAGCATTAGAGTAAAAAAGGTTTTCAATTATGTTGTGAAAACAACGTAGCCAAGGCGCAGGACAACATTATATTAGGGGGCGGTATTAAATAAAAGCCAGACGTAGCCTATCTGACACTCACTTAATAATACAGTAATAAGAAGAATACAAATAAAAATAAGATTTTAAAATTGTCCACTATAAACTGAAATGTTATTATTAAAATTAATGTTTATGTTTTGTATTATAATTTGATCACCGGTATACAAGAAATAGAATATTCATCACATGCACATGACCTTATAATATAATAATATGCCATTTAGCAGACGCTTTTATCCAAACCGGCATACAGTCATGTGTGCATACATTTTTACGTATGGGTGGTCCCGGGGATCGAACCCACTACCCTGGCGTTACAAGCGCCATGCTCTACCAATTGAGCTACAGAGGACCATGTTGCATAGCATTTTTTGATATGAGGTGATGGAAACGCATTGAGTATCCCGATTCCTATAGAATGCTATAGGCTACAGAGAAACATGCAGGCACACTGTGTTGCGAGCGACATGCATGCCATTGTACAGTTCATAAGAAGTTGTGAAACTTCTGTCTACATTTAAGAGCTAAACACACCTAGCTGGGTGACAATGCGCGTTTACTCTAGGGGCTACTTAGGTTGTGTGTGTCCACTAATGTATATGTGTAAATAAACGAACTTACTGTGCGTGCTGTTGGAGAAAGTGATCCATTCGGAAGGTACGGGCTTGTAAGATCGGGGATCATTATAAATGGATAGCCCGGGTACGGTGGGCTCTTGAACAGCCCTCCATCTTGCCTTTTCGCAGCTAACATGGCGGGGAAAAGAATAACTTTTATAAGTGCCTTGAAAACTTTGATGCATCTGAGATTCCAGAAGAAACTCATTCGGCACGCTCATATAGTGCCATTGTGTAAAAATCTAAGAGACAAGAGCGTGAACGGAAAAGCAGAAACTCACCCTCCTCTAAACTTTCTCTTGTTTTGTCTCTGAAAGTTTCAGATCTAGGCGGAGGCCGTCTTTCCGCCTTGAAATGCAACGAAACACAGGGGTTGCATTAAAGAAACACATAGGGAAATCATTACTTTTTAAATACCGTGCTTTCACTGCATATTTCGCGCATAATAAGTAAATGGTTGCAAACTACCGAATAGACAATCGATTACGATTATTTCACTTACCTCCGAATCCGACGAGCTGTTTTGATTTGTTTCTGATTCATTTACAAGAGAAGATTTGACATCTGCTAAATCCCTTTCTGCCGATAAATTCTCCGAAATCTTTTCCTCCTGCTCCCCTTCATCTTTGAAGGAAATCATTTCATCGTTCGCACCCAAATCGTCCCCTCCACCGCCGTTGAGCTGCGGCATTTTCCCGAGCAATTTTGGGGGGCAAAAACACAAAGTTTTAAACCCTTGATCTTGGTGATCTAGAATCCGAGTTTAAGTTTAGAGTCTGTATTGGCGTTTTCCAAGCACTGGCGGTTAGTACAAACTAAAAAGAAGGGGAATCTTGGCAGAAAAAGAAGCCGGAGATGGAGCTGAGCCGCTCGGATTGAGTGAGTTGAAGTTGGTCGGAGTGGTTTTCAGTTCAAAGGCGGCGCTGATTGACAGATAGAGAGGGATGGAAATAGAGAGAGTCTGGATTCAGGATTATTGACAGGGAGAAACACACAAGAAACTAATGAGATTCAAAAAGGGAGGGACTTGAAGTGACGTTTTTATAAATAGGGAGAGAAAAAAAAGCCTGGAGGAAGCCGGCCGATGAGTAGCAGTTAGGAAAGGCAGTTTGGGTGAGGAGCGCAGGACAGTGAAGCGCCCGTTTGCTTTTGTGCTGGAATAGCAAAATAGGCTGAAGATAGTAGCCTACTTGGAAATGCGCATTCAATATATGGGCGGTCTCCCACTGAAAATGAATAGAGAGCACTTCCTTATTTTCTCCAGTTTCAAAATGTAGCAATTTTCAAAAGCCACGGCATTGGGGCCAAAAGTTTCCTGCGCATGCATTCCAGAATAAACTTCAATAAATCTAGGCTATATCAACATTTGCTTCATAGGGTAGGGGCAGGTTACATGAAGCAGTATGAATAGCATTTTGATTACTATGACATCTTGAACCCGTTCCTTTTTTTTTTCTTTAGCCCATGTAATGCAAGCTATGATATTTTGATATTATATTAGACATTTTGTTGTAAATTTCTCATAACATATTGCATCATTTTCTATTCTAGACTATATCCTAAATTAGGTTGCATCTATAGTTTATGTACTTGCATTGTGCAAATATAAAGGACACAATGATGGGCGCACAGACGTGCTCTCAGTCTGCACGACGTTGGGAAGAATACAGGCAGAGGGGCTAATGAGGCCGGGGTTTTAGGACTAACCTGTAGACTATTCATTATGAATAATAGAACAGGGGCTTGGTAAATTTGTGCTGGGTTCTTTTCTCCATCTGACAGATTTCTAAAGCACAAGAAAAAATGCCACCAATAAACTTTTCGGCTCATTTGTGTCATTGATGCAAATTACTCACGTCTCTCGGAAAAATAAATCATTATGGAGCAGGTTTATTTATACTGGTCATCCAGTGGTGCTGCAATAAATACGTTTTAATTAGACGATAGGCTAGAATATTTACCACGCTAAAACCTACTGTTTGTGTCAAAAATTATGTAGCCTGTCAAAATATTAATATGCTTAATTGACTCCTTGATAGCTGTACACCAGGTGGTCAATTGACAGTAGCCTGGTTGTAGGCCTGCCTAGCTAAAGGCCAGTATCTAGTCTTTTTACTACTAAGACGTATTGAATATAAAACAGTCTACCTGAATGTCGTCTACGATCATCCTCAATGCTTATCGCTGCTTGTATTCACACCTTCGTCTCAAAGTGTTGTTTAAAACAGCAACCTCTGGAGCTCAAAATAAGTCATTCTTCGCTCATCCTCTTTGGGTTTCGCGCTACAAATTCTATTCCAATCAGGGTCACACAGACATCAAACAGTGGATGAATATCATTAATGCGGTGAAGTGTTAGAATAAATTAGTCGGAGAAACAAAACGAGGGCTTTGCATTTTTTGTTCTGCACTATTTTCTTTATTTATTGTTAATTCTGAAATTGAATTATTAAAGTATATATCTCTGCTTCAGCCTATAGGGTTCATATTTTGATGACCCCTAAAAAGCTGTCGGTAGGCATGTATGACTTTTTTTTTGGTGAAAAAATAAGCAGTTTATGGAATAGGCCTATAGCTGACACACCTCTCATTTGGCTACTCTAGAAAGACCACTTTAGTGTGTGTGTGTGTGTGTATGTGTATGTGTGTGGCTCAGTAGTCCACTGGTGGGGCTACAAAATGTAGCCTGGAAAAGCTATATTCCATTCAATAATCATAAAATTGATGTTAAATAAATGATTAAATGTTTATTCCAGAAAAACTAAATATACAACTGTAGTAACATCTTTTTTTATTTTTAAGGCATCATATTCAGATTTTTTGTCTGTCTTCTGCTCAGTGGTCAAAATACTGTGTTGACCCCAAAACAATTCACATAGACCTACTGCATGCCAGAGATAAGGGCTCTATAATGAACCTGTATATCAACTCGCTTAAACAGGCTGCTTTAAAAGCGCATCCTTCTGCAAATGATCACTGATCTGGCATGACTGGATCAGCTGAACGCAATATGGTAGAAATCTACACAATATTATCAAATTATTGACTTCCTCAAGGAAGGAAGGAAGGAAGGAAGGAAACATTGAAAGGGCAGGAGGGAATATAAGGATACTCTTCTTAGATAATCATGTATGTCTGTGTAGGCAGCAAAGAGGCGCCCCACCACTCCCAGCTCTACAGACCTGGAGACCACACAGAACAGCCCAAAGCAGTGGAATTCCAAGCTTGCCTCTCCCTGGATTGCCTCAGCAGGTGCCTGAGAGTTCACTGGGGTGTGTGGCGTGTTATTGTGCCTGCAGCGGGGTACCTGCCTCTGATGCTGTCCCATTGAGTCTAATCTGAGGGACCTTTTAATAGGCTGATGTGTGACTCAGCCAAAAACATGATGGTATGTAATCTAATGGGCATTTTTATGAATTACTTTATGATTATTATTCTTATACACTGAGTGTACAAAACATTAGGAACACCTTCCTAATATTGAGTTGCACCCCCTTTTGCCCTCCTAACAACCTCAATTCGTCGGGGCATGGACTCTACAAGGTGTCGAAAGCTTTCCACAGGCATGCTAGCCCATGTTGACTCCAATGCTTCTCACAGTTGTGTCAAGTCGGCTGGATGTCCTTTGGGTGGTGGACCATACTTGATACACACGGGAAACTGTTGAGCGTGAAAAACCCAGCAGCGTTGCAGTTCTTGATACACTCAAACCGGTGCTTCTGGCACCTACTACCAAACCCTGTTCAAAGGCACTTAAATGTTTTGTCTTGCCCATTCACCCTCTGAATGGCACACATACACAATCCATGTCTCAATTGTCTCAAGGCTTAAAAATCCTTATTTAACCTGTCTCCTCCCCTTCATCTACACTGATTGAAATGGATTTAACAGGTAATATCAATAAGGGATCATAGGTTTCACCTGGATTTACCTGGTCAGTCTATGTCATGTTCCTAATGTTTTGTACACTCAGTGTATATTATATAATGCTGTTAGTGTTGTTATTGATGCAACTGCAGTTACAGTGCCTTCGGACGAAGCAAAAACAGGTGTTTAGACATTTTTGCTAATTTACAATAATAACAAAAACTGAAATATGACATTTACATAAGTATTCAGACCCTTTACTCAGTACTTTGTTGAAGCACCTTTGGCAGCAATTACAGCCTTGAGGCTTCTTGGGTATGACGCTACAAGCTTGGCACACCTGTATTTGGAGAGTTTCTCCCATTCTTCTCTGCAGATCCTCTCAAGCTCTGTCAGGTTGGATGGGGAGCGTTGCTGCACAGCTATTTTCAGGTCTCTCCAGAGATGTTTGATCGGGTCCACTCAAGGACATTCAGTGACTTGTCCCGAAGCCACTCCTGCGTTGTCTTGGCTGTGTGCTTAGGGTCGTTGTCCTGTTGGAAGGTGAACATTTGCCCCAGTCTGAGGTCCTGAGTGCCCTGGAGCAGGTTTTCATCAAGGATCTCTCTGTACTTTGCTCCATTCATCTTTCCCTCGATCCTGACAAGTCTCTCAGTCCCTGCCGCTGAAAAACATCCCGACAGCATGATGCTGCCACCACTATGCTTCACTGTAGGGATGGTGCCAGGTTTCCTCCAGACGGGACGCTTGGCATTCAGGCCAAAGAGTTGAATCTTGGTTTCATCAGACCAGAGAATCTTGTTTAGACTTTTGGCAAACTCCAAGCGGGCTGTCATGTGCCTTTTACTGAGGAGTGACTTCCTTCTGGCCACTCTACCATAAAGGCCTGATTGGTGGAGTGCTGCAGAGATGGTTGTCCTTCACGAAGATTCTCCCATCTCCACAGAGGAACTCTGGAGCCCTGACAGAGTGACCATCGGGTTCTTGGTCACCTCCCTGACCAAGGCCCTTCTCCCCCGATTGCTCAGTTTGGCCGGGTGGCCAGCTTTAGGAAGAGTCTTGGTGGTTCCAAACTTCTTCCATTTAAGAATGATGGAGGCCAGTGTGTTCTTGGGGACCTTCAATGCTGCAGAAATATTTTGATACCCTTCCCCAGATCTGTGCCTCGACAAAATCCTGTCTCGGAGCTCTACAGACAATTCCTTCGACCTCATCGCTTGGTTTTTGCTCTGACATGCACTGTCAACTGTGGGACCTTATATATACAGGTGTGCCTTTCCAAATCATGTCCAATCAATTGAATTGACCACAGGTGGACTCCAATCCAGTTATAGAAACATCTCAAGGAGGATCAATGGAAACAGGATGCACCTGAGCTCAATTTCGAGTCTCATAGCAAAGGGTCTGAATACTTATATAAATAAGGTATTTTTGTTTTTTTTAATTGTATTAAATTTGCAAGAAAATTCTAAATACCTGTTTTCGCTTTGTCATTATGGGGTATTGTGTGTAGATTGCTGAGGAATTTGTTTTATTTAATTCATTTTAGAATAAGGCTGTAAAGTAACAAAATGTGGAAAAAGTCAAGGGGTCTGAATACTTTCTGAAGGCACTGTATGTAGTCATTTCACTATGGAGGAATGTTATAAATTCGAAAGTACTCATAGATTCTGTCACATTCTCACCCCATACCAATACACACCACTTTATTCGATCAACCCCTCTTCCTTCCTTGATATTACAGAGGAAAGCGCTATTATAGTCCCAGTGGTCCTTACATCCAACCTCAGGCAAGATAGTCCTGCACACATACTAAATTATGTG